TATATAATCTAGGCAACGGTGAATCTATAGGTAGAATGTGTGTACTAGTAGGAATAGAGGGGAAAATAGCTACTGTCATATAGCGGTTAGATAATTTAATAATAATAATAATAATAACAGTAAATTGTTAAACCGAGAATAAAATGTACAACTACAGCACAGCATGATATTGATAATAAAGTTAGCATTACAAATAAAGTAAAAAATATATAATAAGATAATATTTACAGTTATCCGGTGTTACCACCAGGAGAGATAACTATTTTAGTTTGGGGACGAAGTCCAAAGAAGGGAAAGGGATTGAACAAACTTTTTCTGAACACAGAGATTGGGTTGAAGAATCTTTATGGCAACTACCTCGGTTAGGCTTAGCAACCGAAGACGAAACAACCTAGGAAGTTGAGGTAGAATTGTAAACGCTGAAATTTTGTCATTCTTGTGCTCCGTATGCACTAGGTGTGACAATATGGAACTTCTGATTGACTTTACGACTCCTTTATCTAACCACGTTGGAGAATGCTTTAGAAGGCGGCGGTGGGCTTGCTGAGTCATTCTACCTATGTAACTGTCTCCTCATGAACATTTAAATTTATAAATGCACATTTAAATGGCTAAGTGACTCGGTGGCTTATCTTTCACCTGCAGTGGAATATTACAACGAGTGGAGGATTTTAAACACAATGTTGTGGCAAACAATGTTTTAGCTATTATTGTTATCCACTAATTTACTTCCCTGAACTCTGATCCTATATGCTATTAACCACAGTAATTCAAATGTCTTTGACCAACATTTAATATTAAGTAGATGTAAAGCCCGATGAGAATTTACCGAAAATACGTTGCGTCGGTGGTATAGCTATTAGGACGCTCGCCGACCACGCACATGGTCCCGGGTTCGATCTCAGGCCACCGACGCACTCCTTTACCTCGATAAGCCAAAAATAATCCTGGTAAAGAGGATAGGTTAGGCATGGGGCTAGCAACCCTATCCTGTAAAAATAAACACTGCTACAGAAACTTCAAGCCACTAGCTTGAAGCCCTATGTTCCACTGGGAACGTGAAGCAAAAAAAAATGACGTATTTGCTTGAATCGTGTTCTATGATTCACTATTATATGTTCCTTTTGTTCATTTTACCAACCTTTTTTCTCACCTTCTTTATCTTATCAAGTATACACCCAACTACCTTACTCCTCATCAAATAACGAATTTTCACTTAATCAAATTTCAAACTCTTCCTTGGATTATGTCGTTGACTGTTACAGAACCTTTTATGTTTAGAAACCAATTCTAAGTATTTATTTGTATCAATTATGTCAGGCCATATTACTCAATAATAAATAGACTACTATGCATTTCTAGAAAATATAAATACAATTGGTTACAGGATTTCATCATGGGCTGACACTGGCTAAAGAACCATTGGAAAATCTGGAAGTTGAAATTCATGGGCCATTGGATCGGGTCCCAGTGGCTTAATGGTATACGAAATAGCTCGCCTTGTAATCAGAAGGTCCGGGGTTCGAACCCTGCGGTGGGTGCGTACTGCCGAAGAGTCCCAAACTAGGCTGACGAGACAACTGTCCAGTACTCCCTGGCAGGTTTCCCAATGGTTCTCTAACCAATGTCAGCTCATGATGAAATCCTGTAACCAATCAACCGAATCCCTACAAACCAATACTTGAATATAAATACGATTTTACAGATGATTTCATGAATAAAGAAAATTTTCTTCACTGAATTATCTCTCATTTAAATTATACTAATTTAATTGTAAAACTTTGCAAGATCTTTTCATTAATTAAAAAAAAATGTATTTAAGCTGAAATGTTTGTTGGCATATTTCAACTTTCAGGGCAAAAAGGTTTAAGAAAGTGTACAATTCTAGGAATCAAGAGATAAACGTATACAATTTTAAATGACTATTGAGTTATAACTCGCAATTACTTTTTAGTCTACAACTAGTTGAACATATTAAGCAGACAAAGTTTTCTTTAAGTGTAACATTCAAGATAACATGAATCAGAGAAAATTATGAACACAAGCTCAATTGATTTATTTCTATTTCTCGAAGTTACTATTGTAACAGCAGACGGCACAAGACATGGAAGCCAAGGTATATTTTTCATAGATGAAACCTCTGTTTATATATATACAAGTATTGCTTTTGTAGGGATTTTGTTTGATTGCATGGAGGAGTTCACCATAAGCTGACATCAGTTAGAGAACCATTGGAAAACCAACAGGGAGTGCTGGACAGCTGTTTCGTCCTAGTCTGGGACTCTTCATCACTACGCAGTTACCGCTAGGGTTCGAACCCCGGAGCTTATGGTTACAAGGTGAGCTCGTAAACCAGTAAGCCACTGGGAGCCGATCCAATGGCCAACCCATGAATTCTAACTTCTGCCAATTCACGATATAGCACGACCACTTCGCAATGTCTTCATCGATGAGTTACTGCTTCATCTTCGACCTGCTGTACCCTGCTGGTCACGGCTTCCCACTAGAACCCCAGGTTAACTCCCTGAATAGGGCCAGTCACTAGTGAGCATCATATATATATATATATATATATATATATATATATATATTCTTTAATCAATCACTGAGCGTGTGATTTCGGTTAACATCAAACGATGTGAAGTAGAATGTTCGAATACGTATATTATTCTGTTGCTAATGCAGTAATGAGTGTGATGATAATATTCCGCTGAAGCATATTATCTATATCACACTACCACACTCGTTCCCCCATCAAATACTTTAGACTCATATCGGTTCTATCTTCTTGGTACTAGGGGCTTTGTTTGCATGTCTTGCTGTATCCATTTCTGGAGCTCACTGGTGTTCATTCGCTTCTCTTTGCTTGCATTTCTGATGGTATATTCGTGACCCCATCTCACGGTGACCGTGTATGGTCCTTGCCACTTTGGAAGCAGTTTGCGTGACTCTGGCGCGTATTCGCCGGTGTTTTGCCTCACACTATTATATGCTACCTTCTCCCGACCTCTTAGCAGTGTTCCAAGTAAAAGCCTCTAACAGTAAATAGAATGTTCAAATATATACAGTATTCTGTTGTTAATGCATTATTGAATGTGAGAATAATATTCCGTTGGAACACATTGTCTCTATCACACCATCACACTATTATAACTGGGATTTGAATGAATAAAACAACCATGATTGAAATGTGTTATATTAGCGATTACTGGAAATTATCATATACACTTCTCTGTCTTCAAGTACAGCTCGGCAGTTCTCCGTTTAACATGTATCTACTGATTATCACGGTTAAAGTGTATTACACCAAAAGATGATTGAATGGTATGAATGAAATGTGGCTTTACGGTCATAGAAGTCATCTACATTTACAATAAAAAACAAATACCAGGCAAGAGTTAAAATGTTAAGTAGCTTAGATTAAAATTACACCTGATTATTTGTTAGTATTTTTAATCATTTTTTTTATCTTATTTGATTTTTACACTTATATTTTGTAAAAAATGTTTACCCCTTTATGTTTCGAATGGAATATAAGGCTTCTAGCATGAACTTTTAAATTTCAGTAGCAGTGGCATTTTATTTTTCACAGGGTGGAGCTGCTAATCTCACAACCAACCTTTTCTCTTTTCCAAGCTTCCTACCAACTAAGCGAGGTTAAGGACTGTGTCGGCTGTGATTCGAACCCCAGACAATATGTGTGGTTAGTAGATATTCTACCAATGAACCGCTGACGTACTTCTACACTTACGATGCAATGTTATGTTTTTTTTTGAAGTCAACGTTTTCTGTCTCTGTCTGGTTTCAACATAGAACTTTGCACCAGTGTGCAGCAGTTCAATTCGCCACACTCCCTCCATGTAGCACACAAAACCAGAGAAGAAGAAAGCAAAAAGAAACGCAAAATAGATACAGTTAACAGAGACAAGAGGCAAAAAGAATAGTAATATAGAAGAACAATATAGTTTTATTTGGAATTATAAAATCACCAGGATTGGATGCATCTGCGCCACTGCGAACGATTTTGAGCTATATCACCAGTTGTCTTCAGCCATTGGTGTTTACCGTCATGAGGACCCCAACCAGGAAGCCTACACTTCCTTATGTGGCTGGCTTAAATTAACTCTTGTGGATTTCATTGACTGATGTGTATCTTTTATTTGTATCTTTTTTCAATATAAATGGCTAACAATATGATTATATGATATTAGATGGTTGGGGGCAATCGACAGGAAGCCCACTCTTGGACCTAGGTTTCGCGCTAGTTGGCACTCATCAGCAAGGCGTATCTTCAACCTTGAAGGAGCTCATGTCCCTTCTGATATTCGCACCCGCGTCACCCAGTGCTGCAGTCAGAGACGTTACCACTGAGTTATTCGGGCTCGCGATTGATCTCCTGTAGGACTGTAGTGGGACATGAGTTCCTTCAAGGTTGCAGATACGCCTTGCTGATAAGTGCCAACTAGCAAGAAACCTAGGTCCAAGTCTTCCTGTGGCCGATTGCCTCCAACTATCTAATATCATCAAATCAATGTGCACCGTGATGTCCAGCTACCTAGAATGGTGGCCACATTGCAAACCTGACTGATCGAATTCAATCTGCACCGAAGAAAGGATTAGAAACGTCACAATTGGTGACATGGCTCAAAATCGTTCTCAGTGGCGCAGATGCATCCACTCCTTGTGACTTACCATCTCCAATGAAACTGTTTTGTTTTTCTTTATTACTCCTTTGTCTCACACCTCTACTCACTGTTTCCATTATGCTTTCTTGTACTTTCTTCTCTTGCTTCGCGTGCTACATGGAGTGTGGTGACTTGAACTGGCGCACATTTGTGCAAAGTTCAATGTCGAAAACAGACAGACAGACAGACAGAAACGTCACACTAGTTACTAGTGTCAAATCAAAATATGGTTATATACCAACAGAAAATGTTTAACTGATAGTTTAGTTAAGAGTGTATAGCTACAGTGTGAAGAAGGAAAATGATTCAACTTACAATCAATTGTGGAAATACTAAGGCTACTATAGTATTACACATCCAATTAGTTGCGACAGAAATAGTTACAGCAGCATCTCGATTTTCTTGAATGAACAATTCAGATACCAAAAACCATGGAATAGAACCTATAAATATTTCAATAAATAACGACACAAACGACTGTCAACACATTGCCATATACTGAGTATATTTGTATAGTATAATTCTTAAATCTACAGATTTTATGACAAATTAGAGAGAAGTAGACTTTCAGTGTACTGAAAATCAAATATTCGCTAAATATCATCACTACATGATCCAACAGTTAACCTACAAACATTCGATACAAATACTAATAGAGAACGACCTAAATGAGCTACACAGTCATCTGAACAAAATAACATACCTCACTTAATTTCTAATAAAATCAAGTAAATATTGTAACACTGGACAGCCTTTTTACGGAGAACAATTGCTGTCATCAATCCAGGCGACAACACTCCACAAACTCTGTCTGATACACCATCTGACGAAGAAAAGCGTGTCCGATGTCAATGTTTCAAAACCAGTCGTAGAGTACACGCTGCTCCTAACTTAAAATCTGATTCAAGTATTGGTTTGTAGGGATTTGGTTGATCGGTTACAGGATTTCATCATGAGCTGACATTGGTTAGAGAACCATTGGGAAACCTGCCAGGGAGTACTGGACAGTTGTCTCGTCAGCCTAGTTTGGGACTCTTCATCAGTACGCACCCACCGACAAGGTTCGAACCCAGGACCTTCCAGTTACAAGGCGAGCTCGTAGACTATTAAGCCACTGGCGCATGAATTCCAACTCCTGCCAATTCAAGATATAGTGCAACCACTAGCCAATGTCTTCGGCGAGTATTTGTCTTCACACCCTCTGATTTCTTCATGCTGCTACTAAATGACTATGGATTTTGCGATCACATACACTGTATTAATCAAGCAGGTTACAAACAGTCACAATAGAAAGATGTCTTTTTATTATAAATTTGTATGACTAATAATTCATAGACCGGCCCGATAGGACAACATCTGACTCCCCCCCCCCACATACACACACACACTTGCCTTCATCTGAGTTATACTAGGAAATAATTCACTGTCGTAATCATTAAATACTTCGGGAAGAAAGCTACTGGATTCAATTAATTTCACATTTGAAATTTCGCAACTTAGATCACATTTAGAGGACCGATATATAGATCCTGCGTAAACCTGAAATCACCAGTGTACCAGTGAAACGCATCTGTAGGTTAGTTGGTCTGTTCTTCAAAGTGTACTTTCAAGTGTTCCACACATATCTCTCTTGGAAAAAATGTCCAAATGAACATAGTCTTTTACACGTACATCTCTTCAATGGCTATAAAAAAAATGTTGAGTAGCACATTGTTTTGATGTTGGTTTGTTTACCCATTTTCGTAGTTTTATTTTCACAATCAAGTTCCACAAATGTTACGAAGCTTCTTAGGCTGTTATCACTCTACACTATCATCAAGGTCAGTACGAGTGAACTTTCTTGAGTCAATCGTTTATTGTACTGGACAACTTGAATTGTTTCACACTTTTACGCAGAGTTCGACATTAATGAGTCTGTCAGTCAATCACAATTATTTAGCATGTGTTTACAGAGATCTGTCATCTTAGTTAACTTATCAAGTCAATCATGGTAACTAAATACGTTATTAGACTTCTTAAGTTTGTAAATTATTGACATACTGAAGTGAAGTACTTAATTATCTATGCATGATGTAAGTAGTTGACGCTTTTTACTTTTACACTACTGAGCACATTGTTCTGCTTGCTGTTTATTTCATATGCTAATTCATCACTGAAGTCATACAAGTGTTTGTATTTCATTAGAATACTTATTGCAAATAAAGTCAAAAAGTACACTAAGCTGTTTCACATGTTTGCAACTCAACGACTTAATTCACAACTCATCATAAATACTTTCAAAGATAGCCTAAAGAAACTAAAACAATTATAAACAGTAAATCGGTTTGAAAATTTCTATTTACAACTTGTACAATTAAATTTTATAGGCTGATAATTTGTCTCTTCAGTATTGAGAAGTTGATTTGAAAGAGAAAAAGAAAAGAAAACAAAAGAAGGTCATAATTGACACTACCTACCTAAGCCTATTGAAAATCCGAATAGAAAAGTATACGTCAATCCAATTGATACAATTGTAAGCCAACTAACTTCTGTTGCCTGTTTAATAATCAGTGCTAAGGTGAAAAGTGAAAAGCTGACAAGACAAACAGATATGCTGGATATCAGTAATGGTCGTCTGCCTTTACGATCAATTATAAATATGGATGATAATGCACCGATTAGGATTGTAAACCCAGTACCAAGATTTGCATATCTTGCTTGTTTTTCTGTTAAACCATTCGACATAAACAGAGTGACACAGTAATAAAGAATCTGAAATTAAAAAAAATTAGAAAAGTTTAACATCCACTAATAAACTGCTGCGAACTACACGTATTATTTATTCTCTACACGACTGATGGTGATTCCTCGACTGAAAGATGAAGTACCTAGACTAGCCACTTCTAACTGTATTTATCAATTCAACTGAGCTTGTAGGGAGCCAGTTATATTGGCTGTTGCTCTAGGAACTTGATTTTTCGTGCAATCTCGAGAGCATCTCCCAGCATGGCTAAGTAAAGGTGTAGTGAACAGCTCGATATTGGAACATCTGGTGCAAACTGGCCACAAAGCCAGCGTAGATGAATCCTTCTCTATATTATACCGGGTGCCAAATAAATTACCAAAAACATCGAAGCACCGCAGCTCCAAACACCAGAGGCTATTGCGATTCGCCTCAAACAACCGGCGCTCTGTGTCCAAAAGAAGCAAGTCCAGCCGCTAATATTGCCCTGGCCTTCAGTAGAAACTATAAACTCATGAATTTGTACTATTATATTTCCTAATTCTTCTGACATTCGGCTTATTTTATGTTGATGCGATTCAGCTGTAATCTATCAATATTATTGATTCGATGTTATTTAAACAACATTAATGTCGTTCCCCATTGGTATCGATTTCTAAGTGCAATTAGATTAGAAACATATCATATTTCAGCACTTTTTTAAATATCGTGAGATTTCATGTAACTCATCGACATCTTCAAAGATGTATCTAATTGTTTAGGTACCCATATAAGCTATTAATGCAGACGCGATTCATTAAACATTACTAAGTATATATGGCCAACAAAGAAGTGTGTACATCAGAAAACAAACCTCGGAAATTGTGGTTGTTTTCAACTACCCGACATTTTTTTCCATGGAAATTTATAATACAATAAATCGATATTCATCATGTTTCAAAAAAATTCCACCGATCTAACCGTATAAGATTTTAAACATTTACAGATCAGCACCCAACAAACAGGTGAAAACTAAAGAGCACTCGAAAGCTGTTTCATCCCTGTTGGGGAGACTTCGGGAGCAAACACCCGCGACACCATGGTGACAACATCGCTTTTCGTTTATTTTATTATTATTATTCCTTTGCGTTCCCAGTGGAACATAGGGCTGTCACTCTTTTGAACTGGTTCCACGACTGACTGACCATAATCTCTCATCTCCTGCACGCCACACGATCTCCTCCATATCACCATCGCATTGACGACCCACTCGTTGCTTACCATTGGAATTCCATTCGACAGCCTCGCATGCGATTTCATTCGACGGTTTCCTCAATGTATGCCCGATCCATTTCCATTTTCTCCTACATATTTGTTGAGCGATTGGCTCTCGCCTATTGGTTTGTTCCCACAGTTTCTTGTTACAAATTCTTTCTGGCCATTTGATCTTCAGTATGGGACCAGCGAAGGTGGAAGCTGTTGATAAAAGTCTGTATTAGCCTGTTGGAGATCCTTTTCGTTACACGCCAAGTTTCTGATCCGTCTGGAAGGATCGACTTTAGTAAGTTTAGTAAGTTCAAATCCAATGTTTAGTGAATGCTAAATTCTGCCTAATGGAGATATCAGCCCACCACCATTGAATGTCAACCGATGAGTAAGAATTCTCACATCTAACATGGTGGACCACACCAATTACAACTTTTCGTTAAAACTCCAGGGAAATCACTGTGAAATTGGTCATTAATCAGCAGTGAAATAACATTTAGGCATTGGAATTTTGAAGCTTCTTTGAATTTAAAGCTAGGAGAGCAATAGTTTGAGTTGGTGACAGAAGATAAAACGCATATCTGATGCCCATCCACTAATATTCTTTTGCCTAAAAATGAATCCCTTCTTCACAAAACTTTTAAGTAAACAATAATCCAATGCTTATCAGTGAGTTCTAGTGATATATCGTAAGTCATTAGTCAAATTACCTACTTAAGGAAGGCGGTGTAGTGAATTGTATAGATAGCTGGATTCCAACTAAGTGATTGAATAGTAGTAAGTTTATATCTAGACCTGATGGATGGCCTTCAACCCAGTTCCACATGCATACACACCATGAGGGGCATTAACACTACGAAAACAGAATGATAATTCATTCCCTGTTCACCTTTTGAAAGATTCATAAGACGTGAATGCACCCAATGGTATGCATATTCACAAAAGATATTGAGTGGATTTCTCTCAAATATTAGTGTTAAGAACTACAAGTGTATTATTAAAGTCAGAGTCAACTAAATCTGTGACTTTTTTTATCTAGACAGTTCCATTCGCAACCGACTATGTTACAATGTCTGCCTGTCTGTTCTCAACATAGAACTTTGCACATATGTGTGACAGTTGAATTCACCACACTCCATGTAGCACACAAAGCAAGAGAAGAAAGTACAAGAAAAGCATAATAGAGACAATAAACAGAGGTGTGAGACAAAGAAAGAGTACTAACGAAGAACAAAACAGTTTCATTGGAAATCATAAGTCACAAGGAGTGGATGCATCTGCGCTGGCCACTGAGAACGATGAGTTTGAGCCATGTCACCAAGTGTTTCCAGCTTCCATTGGTTTTTACCATCCCGAGGACCCCAACCAGTCAGGAAGTCTACACCTTCCTACGTGGCTCAGACTAACTGTTGTAGATTTCATTGACTGGTGCCACGTTTTTGTTTGACTTCGCTAGCTTTTTTCCAGCCTAACCCTGTGTCCGCTAATATCGCTCGTCAAGGAAGGCGATGACTAGGCGTGCATACGTAACACATGTCCTAACCACCTCAGTCTATGTAACTTCACAACTTCATCGATTGATTTCCCCTGTTTACCTAGAACTCGACGCCTAACCTCAATATTGCTCACCTTATTATGCCACTTCACACGGGAGATAGCACGCAGGCACCTACGATCAAAGACAGCTAATCTTTTCATGTCTTCCACTCTCAATGGCCAGGTCTCACTCACAGTGATAAAGGAGGACGGAGTGGACTGATGAGCAGTACATCCGCCCTCTGGTCGACAGTCGGATATCACGTCTACGCCATAGACGGCGTAAACCGGCAAATGCGAAACGAGCCCCCTATATCCGTGCTGAGATTTCGTCAAAGATCAACCCGTTGGCGTTGGCTGATGGCTTTTCCCAAATAGGTGAAGCGGTCAACGTGCTCTGCCACTTCACTCCCTATTTCTGATCTAGTAGTCGGTGTAGTCCAGTCCTGTAACATCATCTTGCATTTGGAGGGAGCGAATCGCATGCCAAACATTCGTAGATTGCAGATCAAGGTGTTTAGAAGACTCTGCATTTTTTCAGCGTCCTCGCCTAGAAGAACTATATCGTCTGTATATTCTAAGTCAATGAGATTATTCCTTGGTAACAAGTCAATCCCTGAGTCGCTGAAGTCACTTAGGGTTAAGTCCATTAGTACATCTATGATGAATTTGAATAGAAAAGGGGATAATAGGCATCCTTGACGGACACTACTAGTCGTCACCAGTTCAGATGACAACCCGCCGCAAGCCCTCACCTGGCTGGCTGTATGAGTACGAGTAGAGTGCCTTAATCAGTGCAATGTATTTTCTCGGCATTCCCTTCACGGTCAAGCATCGCCAGAGTATCTCTCAGTCAACAGAATAAAATGAGGGCCGCCCTTAGGTTAAGAAATGTATGTTACAATATATGTGATTGTTTGCCGAGTATATGCAAGTGCATGTTTTTATTAAGTAGCACCACCACTATCATCCTTATTGCTAACATGACTACTTGAAACATAAAAACTAACAACACTAATAGACATATCATTAAAAAAAGTTTTAGATTTTCAAAGAATTATTAAGTCTGCATTATATTATGAACTGAGAAAAATTTTTATAAAAAAGAAATACTTACTCCATTTATACCAGAAAACTGTTGACCAATATGTGGTATGAGAGCTGTAATTAGCGACCATCTTAAATATGGAACACGTAGGAGATCAGAAATTTTCGCTCTACGTGTTAGTGAACACTCCATCTCCCTTTTTAATATCTCCAATTCACATTGTATATCACAGTCATCACCTCTTAAAGAAACAAGTGCTAAAAGACTAATGAATGAACTAAGAATAAAAATTTACCATTTTCTGATTTTCGACGATCGCCTTTAACAATATATAAATAAGTAGGACTTTCAGGACAAGTTGATAATAACATAATATGTATAATACTGGAAACAATACATAATGCTATGAAAAAATATCTATAAGCATTTTATTTATCATACCAAGTAGATAAGGCCATAATTCATCTGTTCCCATTACTTCAGGCAGACCAAGTACCTGTGATAATAGAATAGCACAAACAACTACAAGTTGATTTAATGTGCCTGCAGCTCCACGAAATGATACAGGAGCTATTTCTGACAGATACATAGGTCCAACCACGGTATGAGCACCTATGAAAATAAAGTTTTACAAAAAAAATATATACAAGTGTTTACCACACGCAATTCCAACTATAAATCTACCAACGATGATCATTTCAAAGGACTGGGATGCCTTGGAAAATAACATTAAAAGTGATCCAATAATTGTTGGAATAGACAATAGAAGGAGTGATTTTTTTCTGTAATAATATAATAATAATAATGAGTTAAATGATACCGATCATACTTACCGACCAAATTTATTCGCGAAAATACCACCAATAAAACCACCAAGAAATCCACCAACAACGAAAAATGTAACACAAATTGACCAAATCAAATTAATGCATTGTTTGTCACATTGCATCATTCTATTAATGAAAGTAGAATTTATAAAATTTTTGATCAACTAAAAATTGAATATATATTTCATTTCGATTAAAATTGACTAACTCACTTCAGCTGGTGCATTGATAACTCCTGATTGATATCCAAAAGGAAATGAACTGCCTAATGTTATGGCAAAATATGGTAGATAGGATTTTAACCAGGTCATTGTATGTTTTATATTGTTTATTTCTCTGATAACCATAATAAAAACAAAATATTTAGATAGATAGAAAGAGTTAATTGTGAAGAAATCAAGAAAATGAACTCAACTTGATGTTTCAAATTAATTAATGAGGTAAAACAAAACGAAACATGTGCTTTGGTGGTTACTTTCACCTTTGTTTAGTAAGTAATATATTAAATCTGCTGTAAAATTTCGTCCTAAGTGATATCGTTTGATTATACGTATTCCGATAGATAGATAGAGTGGGATTCGAACTTGTGAACTTATCAGCTTCCAAGGTCAACTGATCACAACTTCGCACAAATACAAATCAATACAACCTTAACTCAAATAAAATCTAACTCTATTATGGATAAGATTTTATTTTGATAAATCACACAGTGTTGTGCAGTTTTATTAACTGATGACCACGTTTCGAGCACAAATCATTACCGCTCATAATCATATCAAGTTACTCACACAACTTTCTTCTTTCATTTATATACATGTGTGGAATCGATTAGATATTGGATTAAAAATCAATGTGAGATAATGTACATTCAGAAATAATGGTACGAGTGTTGTTGATCAATTGCAGTTAGATGGGAAAAATGGACGAGTGTTTTAATAGTCATAATAAGCTACTTGTTAGAATGTTGTGTTTGAATTGAAATAGAATTTTAGATTATTTATTACCCCCTTCTGATTTGACTGACTGGTGGTAATAATATCTTCCATATTTCTGGTATCTGCATTGAGTCATTTCTGTTGCATGTGTAGTGTTGGGTATAGACTTGATGAATAAGGATTCCGTGATCAACCTCTCTCTCTCTACCTACCTATATTACCTTTTAGAATTTTAACCCTATCCCACCCTATTGTGTGGTTGTTTGTGAAGTTGACTGTAAGGTCAACTACATAGGTCAAACTAGTAGGTCAAGGATAGTCAGATTACAGAACATAAGAATTTAGCTAAGGTAAGAACGGTTGACCCTGAAAAGATAAGTAATTTAGAAAAAAGCTCAGCTATTGCACTTCACGCAATAACAAACAACCACGCAATAGGGTGGGGTAGGGTTAAAATTCTAAAAGGTATTATAGCTAAGTGGAAAGAGAGGTTGATTACGGAATCCTTATTTATCGAGTCCACACCCAACACATGCAACAGAAATGACTCAATGCAAATACCAGAAATATGGAAGATATTATTACCACCAGTCAGTCAAATCAGAAGGGGGTAATAAATAATCTAAAAATTCTATTTCAATTCAAACACATTCAAACACAACATTCTAACAAGTAGCTTATTATGATTATTAAAACACTCGTCCATTTTTCCATCTAACTGCAATTGATCAACAACACTCGTACCATTATTTCTGAATGTACATTATCTCACATTGATTTTTAATCCAATATCTAATCGATTCCACCCATGTATATAAATGAGAGAAGAAAGTTGTGTGAGTAACTTGATATGATTATGAGCGGTAATGATTTGTGCTCGAAACGTGGTCATCAGTTAATAAAACTGCACAACACTGTGTGATTTATCAAAATAAAATCTTATCCATAATGGAGTTATACTCTACCAAAGTGCCCAAGTTTTATACTTATAACAAATAAAATCTAGGTTCCCCAATATAAAGTAATGGTGTAACTGTTAACTGATTGATCACTGAGGGGTGCTCATTAGCTTTATCGACCACACCATGAGAATCACTTCCAACCAAATAAGATATTATAGCTGTCAAAGAGTTAAAACAATTTGTCAAACCTTTGCGACGAAATTTCCAGAATATTTTTACCTTTTCGAATCATTAATTTGGTTCAGTAATTCTTTCAGATAATTAACTAATTAAGAATGACATGAGATTGAGAAATGTGTACTAAAAATTTTACCTAATAATATTTATAATTCGTATTTCATGAATCAAATTTTATTACACGATTCTCTTGACTGCATTATTAATTACTCTTGCATTTTGTACATCTCAGTTGCTCGTAAGTAATAAATGAGGTTCTGAATACTCTTTTTGCTTCAACTGACTGTTCAAAAGACGTTCTCCTGCTAGCCAACTTGATGTTGCAGGTTAAAAGACTAAATACTAATTCTGATGTTATTAGCTTGGTAGTGTTTTACTAGGCCTGTCTGATTTATATACATTCTACTATGCGCACAGTTCTATCCTAGATGAAAATTAAAGCCATAAAAGAATGTCCAATTGCAATAACAATCACTGAACCGATTTGTTCAGCAGCTTCACATTATCTTGTTTCGAAATATTTATAGAGAAAAAGTGGCTGCTAAAGCATTTTCCTGAATAGCACAACCTAGTGAAAGTTCACAACCACACATATGAAAAAAAAATTTCATTCCTATTAATAGTCAACAAGTTTATACTTTCTAGTTTCGCGAAGGGTAAAACTAATGTCGTTATCCTTGTAGAAAAAGTCGACACCTACTGCGTCTTCTCAGGCTTACTACTGGTTGTTTAGTTCGGTTTCCTACTTTTGACCGGTTCAAATAACTCATCTTACAACGTTTAGGCAGCCAAGAAGTACTACAATCCTCGTATACTATTTGTGGCTGATTGGCTAGTACATGAGTATGTAAATAGTATTCGCATCGCAGGGAGGTTTGTTGTCTTGAACTGCAACTAAGCGTTCTATGATTATAAGTCCTACGATGTTAAACACTACATTATTTGATCCCTGTCTCACAGAACTTATTTATCGAGAATTGGGGTTAGTCAAAGACAATAACTGTCAAATTTCTCAGATCAATCAATATCCTGGTGTTTTACTAGTTTTCTGGATTATCACACTTAAAGATTTCTGTTTGCACCCATTTCAGAGGATATATATGGCCATTCCAATTTATCTTAAAGGTTCTTGAAGTCCAAAGTAACTGTTAGTGAAATGATTCACGTGTCGACTTTTGTATTCAAATGAACAATCAGCATATCTGTTAGTACATTAGAGGTTCGTATTGGCTATAAATAAGCAGAACTTTAGATAAGGACCGTCAGTGTGTCGGTGGCACAGTGGTTAGGACTCTCACCGACCATGCACATGGTTCGAGGTTCGAGCCCCTGCCGACGCACACCTGATATCTATGGTCGGCCTGCAAAACTTGGGCTACCGATATCCATGCTGAAAATTCCATACATGTACCAAAAATACAGTGTGAAATCAAGCTGTAAATCAAAAATAAAATAATCAACCGTCACTAGATTTCAGAATTATATGTGGCCACATTTTTGGTTCTCTCGAATGTTTTTTGCTAAATGAGAATGTTCTGAAGCCTATAGCTATTGTAACTGGTATTTCAACACCAAACAAATTACAAACTTAAATACTAGAGCTGTTACTGATTGGTACAAGAAGTACTTCCCAGGTAATAGAATAAATAAATTAACGCGAATTTTACTTTAATACATTAGCGAATGAAATGTCAGTAATACTTAATAAAACTGGTTGTCTACACTTAGCAGTTAACAAGTCTCATCTGCCTCATAAGTGGCATTTTTTGCTGCTTTTAGAAATACACATCACAAATTATTCCATTTTAATCAGTAAACATGCAGTTTATAAGCTACTACTAACAGCTAATGTTTTCTCTAGCTTACACAAAATAATGACTAATCATCCACAAAACGATACTGTCATCTTTAATAAACTATTTAGTTTCAAAACGCGCTACTTAAACTAATGTATATAAATTTATCTAACCATTTGTATTTGAGAGGTTATTTTAACTACCGAGTACATATTTCGAAATCTCACCTACAAACACTGTGATGGCATATTTAATCCTAACAGTGAATTTGACTAGTACTTGAATACAGCTTTGTACCAAAATCCTAAAACAGACTGTCTGTTAACTGAAAATTATACAAATTCAGATATTATGCGTCGTTATCAAGATGTAAGGATTTTATTATACTGATAAATGGTGGCGAAAATGATTAGCTGAATTTTGCACAAGACATTTTGTAATGACTGAATGCAAAGAGAATTTTGTTTTTCGCTCAATATTGAAGACTAGCACACTAAGACTGTGACACTAATTGATGTAGCACACATTAGACTAACTAGTTGTTGATGCTGACATCTGCATGATACAGTGGATACAGTGACACAAATGGTGACATGAGGCTATCCTATCTTCTCCTATAACGAGAAATAAATGACAATTAGGAAAACACTCCACATCAGCGATATTTACAAGTATCATTCAAAAACAATTTAAATTAAAGCCACTTTATGAGAACTCAGGTTACATAGCATGCATATCAACAGACAACTTCCCAGATAACCAATTGGTGATTTCTCAACATAAGAAGTTTATTCACTGTTTCATTTTATCACTGTCAAAATTGATTCCTACATACAAAAGTAGTGCATCTCCTTATTGCCTATGAGAGATATTGTTACAATGGGCTCTAAGTTTAGGACATATAATTTAGACAATGTACCTTTACATTTTCCCCTAGTGAGTGTTTGGCATTCGGATATATGGCGGACTCTTAATTGTTTATCCTAAACAGATTCGACTATCATCATATCTTTTTGAATTGAGGTATGGATACTCTGTAGGTTGTACCAACATTATATCGCTGATAGGACTAATCTTTACAATAACAAGGACAGTTATCCACCTGCTTCCCAACTTTAAGTTTTTGAGGTCCCCGTATATGAGTGCTTTAGGTTAGCAGAAAATTCCATCAGGAGCCTTTCGCAGCATTTAGTAGCATGCTCGCATTTTACATTAAAGTTTCAAAAAGTGAAGGTATTTCACACGTGAATTCTTTCTACGATTAAGTCATCGTTAACTGGTGCCAAACTATATCTTAACTAGTATAGTGTGGGGCTGTTACCCATTGGCTTAAGCCATCGACTTTCAGTCGACAGGTTTTAAGTTTGGGTCTTCCCACCTACTTCTGCTTCGGCAACTAGCTAGCATGGTGAGTGAGGCGCATCCCTCACCTAGTCACCGTGTTCTAGCTTATAAAGTGACCTAAATAGTATTGTTACTGAAACATCTAACAAAATTGGTTTAAAATATAACATACATTGTCATGGGGAGGAAAAGCGTCAGTGTAGGAATCAGAAGCACTATCAAGGCTTATATCCATGCCACTGTAATAGCCCTGTGTTTTCAGTCATTAGTATTTGTTCGTTAGGCTCCAGAGAAATCCTATAACCGGCAGAGCCTGTCCTTGGATAAGTGTAAAGGCTTAGATGTCACTCATAAGGTATATATAAGAGTGAAAACTTAGACTTACACACTGGCCGGAGCCCAAATTATGTCAGTTAAAGGAACTCATGAAAACTAATTTAGTTTATCCAGAATTATATCATTAGAGGGAGGTCGACTACATAGATCAAAGTAGTGAGCCAGGACTATTTAGATTAGCAGAACACCAAAGCTTGGAGAAATATCGACTAGCAGACACCGATAAGGTTACAATTCTTATCCAGGAGGAAGCTCAGTTATGGCACTTAGTACTATTATACACAACCCAGCAAAAGAGACTAAGGTGAGTCCTACACCTGAGTACACCAGGACCGAAATAAACAAAAACTTGGAACGCCTCCAGAAAATTTGGAATATTTCACTGCTTATACAACAAACAGGAAGGGCTAGACGATCTCTATATTCAGCAAAATGGTATGAAATACCTTACTACTACACTGTCCAAGTTTTGAATATATGCGATTTCCACACAGCACATCCCGTCACTGAACTTCATGAAGCACACAAAATTCCACTTGCGTATTTGTATACATGATTGCGCCTTCAGATATCATCAGCCCAATTTACATACGTGTCGCCACTGCATCTATAAACAAGTGCTCATAGATGATGATTTATGACAACGTATTTTAGTCACATGGATCCACTCTCCAGTTAGAGATTACTTTAAACATACAATATCGACTGAACTTACGGCACATACATTAGGTGCTCATGGCATCCTAACCAGCTGAAACATTGGGCAGAAAAAGTTAAGCGCATATAGATGTGCAGAACTCATTTTCCCGATGTCAGTGTTTTCTCTGTACCCGCGACTTATTACCCTAAGTATGCGTCTGTAGTTGCCACGACGTTTTGTTAATTAAACTGAAGGTTCATCATTATGCATATGTCATTATGAGAAAATAGTGAAACCTAACATAGATATGTTAAGAACACAATATATTTTGATGTGGTTTTGTTCTCTGAGCTGGATGGTTAATTTGCGAAGCTTTCATCACCCTACTGGGTGACATCTTCAGCGCATACTTCAAATTGAAGCTTCGCAAATTAACCATCCAGCTCAGAGAACAAAACCACATCAAAATCATCCACCTGAGCTACAAATCTTCTCTATCATATCTAACACTTAATATATATTAAGTATTCTCTTTATTAAGGAAAAAATACTGCGACGTAGGTAAAACGCTAGATAATTAAGAACCAAAAATCAAAAATGTATGCAGATTGTCTGTTTTATAATTTATAATTTGAGAGAAAATCTGAAACAATTTCCAAAACACTATCGAGTTAGTACTCCGAAAAAAACCAGAAATACTTACTTAAATATTTGGCAACTAACGCACAGTTACCGTTTCTGGAAACTGAAAATTATGAAACACAAAACGCTATCATGGTGGTATGCAGTCAATACAAATTATACAATACAATAGTATGCAACTACGGAAAGCCAATCAAGGAAAGTGACCTTGAAGGGTTGTCTTAGTGGTGCAAACAACCTTGGCAAAAAGCACTGTGTACTTTATATTAAGAAACATTTGTGTACAGTGCAGACTGAATAAAAAAGAGAACGAGTGGATTAAAGATATTTGTTACAGCACACAGAAGAAAGATTATGTTGAACAACTGTAGAATAACAACTACATGGACTTTATTATTGAGCGCCGGCGTATTTTTATTCACTTGGGTTTCGAGTTAGACATAAGACTTGCATGGATTGTCGATAATTGTTATTCTTCAGGGATATAGACTGTAAATGAATGACACGTTGCTTGATAAAGCCAACATTTCAATGCTCTGTAGCGACATTTAAGAGGTTTCACCAAGGGGTGGCGGTTAAATCGCTGGTTAGGCATGCCAGTGAGCAAATGTTTACAGCAGGTTACTATTTCTAGAAATCACCTTTTGGTTATGAATTCTTGGTTTTCTAAAGGCATGATCTTAGGAAATGGCGTCTTCAGGAAAATAATGACCTGTACAGATCAGTTCATAGAGCTTAACTAGCGTTGTGATGCGCAGATGTTGGCGATACTACAAACACTACGCATATCAAGCAATTTTGTATCGAATGGACTCAACATTGGTTACTCTAACAGACTGTTTCTTTGTTATTGTCCTGCGATGGTTGCGTTGATTGTTTCCAGCTATTTGTGTTCATCATTTAAAACCCAGCTGTTCCGACGAACATTTATCTTAAAAGATTGTCAGCACTTATGCCTTTCTATTTTTTTGGCAAAACTTCAGTGTTTGGTGCGTTCAAATAGATTCAGAAAGCAATAGTAATTATGTGAGCCTCGTACGAGTTGGGTTAGTATGTCGAATGAGTACATGTAGGCCAAATAATACTTTTACCATTTTCATTCTAAATTTTTGAGCCTGTTGAAGAAAATTCTCACCATTTCTTATGTGCAGATTTGCTTCATGTGACCCATGGTCTGGCTGTCTCAAATGTTTATGAACTATGGTATAAAAGACATCCTACTTAGACATATCAAACTCCACGTCCGTCAACTTTTTATAATTGTAATTCATAGTGTTTCGAGGTCGACAGCTGAAAGTTCAGATTGATTCCTAAGCCTCTGAATCTGGGCAGCTCATTCTGTTCATGAGCCTAGTCAAGTGGACTTATCTCAGCCAACAGGCACAGCCATACATTTCGATTGGCTACAAAGCGAAGTGAGATAAATAAATTATTATATTATTATTATATCCTTTAATTCCTAGAGGAACATAGGGCTTCAGCCGCGCGTCTCCATTGCCTTCTGTTTTCGACAACTTTTTCACCCCGCTCCAAGTCTGCCTACATGCTTTCGTCTCCTCTTCACATAACCTCCTCCAAGTCACCCTCGCAATGACGACCAACTTCTCGCCATCTGATCTTGAGCGAAGTATTGAGCAAAGACAACTGTTAATGAAGGTCTGAAGTTTGTTTGAGATACTTTTTATGATGGGCTGGACAAGTCTCTGATCCGTACAGTGAGTAGCACTGAGTGACTTCACACTGGAGTTGAAAATCCGGATGGATGTTATTTTTGATGCTGAGTTCTGAGTGTTGACCTCCACACAGACTTGAGAGTAAGGGTACGGTTGTGCACTAAATGCACAAAAAGGCATAAAATAAAAAAAACAGACATAAGGAAAAAATGTATTAAAACCAAAATTGGACATCATGATAGTACGAGATATACGCGTAGCATTATACATTGCAAATGAACGTTGTCAGCCTAGGGAGTTTCTATATTAATGCATTTATTAGTAATACTTGCACTTACCCATTTCATTACACTTTATTGATTCACCTTAGCACTTTTACTTTTCTAAAAACAGCTTTCAATCCCTTGTAAACGTTGTACTCACCTCAATATTGGTTGGTTATCGTATGCCGACAACCACGGGATGAAAACGAAACGAAGTCGATTTTCCCGCTCAACCTGGAGGACAATTGTACAATTCAATAACTATGCGGCCTGGTTCAGACAATGAGTGTATTTATATATATCAAATATTTAACTGTTGAAAGATTATTAACTTGTAGACAATCTACGATTTGATATTATATCATACTTGATCGTGACTGTAAAAATGGCATGCATTTTCATGTAAATTTATATGTTTATATGAGAATATACATTATTATTATTATGATGAAAGCCTGTCTTGTTTTTCCGATTCTAGCTTTGATATCCTCGTCAGTTCCGCCCGCCTGTAGTTGAAACGATGCTTCCCAGGTAGGTGAAGGAGGTTGTTTCTTTCAGGTTCCTCCCATTTATTCTGGCTGATTGTTGTCTGTTGTTGTTGCTGTGGATATTGGTGTTGGCCAGGAATCTTCATCATCTCTGTTTTATCCATGTTGACCTGAAGTCACGCCTATCTTTGATGGTTCTTCAGGCAACTTGTTGCTTTTCACTTGCATATATTCCAGTTTGTGGGAAATCAGACATATAAATTAATAAATTTTTTCTCATATTACAGTACATGAGGAACGCCAGTTTACAGGCATCATCAAATTGTGTTACAGAAATAGAACCATATTATTCAGTCACAATTTACAGGCGGTAGCAAGATATTTTTACATGCTACTGGACGAAAACACCTTACATTGGGGCAACCTTGTGACTTAACTTGAAGCCCTCCTTTGGCTACGTGAGATACCCGTAAGAAAGTTTATGCATCGAGGCATTTACCAGCCAGCTAGCTGATACATCTTTCAGTGCCTTAGCCCGGGTAAAATTTACACTACAATAGAATAAGTCGTCAATTCAAAGCTTTGAGATGCGGAGCTGTATCAGTACAGCTGGCCTAACGTCTTGACAAGCCAGAAACTGCAGCGTGATAAGAAACCACAAGTATGCATGGTATTGCAAAACTAAAAGTCCCCAATAAAGGTTCAGGATTCACAATAATATATTCTCAGTTTTGTACACAAGGGAAGCCAGTTTCTAGGCATCATTAGTATCCTAAGTAACATATGCAAGGATCACCCATGTTTATAACTATTCGCTTTCACAATGTATACACAAATACGGGGAAAGGTGATGTAGTAATATCTATAAGGTCACATTACACAGCTGGAAGCAATGTACGCGGCATAACACAAAGCATGTGTGGTTGTTACATTCTCTTCAAAAAGCTTGGGGTGGCGGTAACAATTCTGGACCTTACACATAATCCAGTAGATGATTTAAATATCAGAACAACTTCAACTTTCTGTCACATGGCAGGCGAACATCCCCCGAGAAATGATACTTTGAAAATACCAAAAAATGTTATCGTAAAACGTCCTTAGGTCCTACGCCTTCGGGAAGAATTAAGAAACTCGACACATTTAGGCGGTACCACTCGTGTTGAGAAATTGAAGGTACTTGTCCACTGTATTTGCAATATTTGAAAGCGCAGTATCTTCTGGGTGGCTTATAGTAGGTCCCTTAGATGCACCGGCATCAATATTAGATGGTTGGAGGCAGTCAGAAGGAAGCCTCGGACCTAGCTTTCGCGCTCGTCAGCGAGGTGTATCTGCGACGCCGGAGGAACTCACATCCGTAATAAGACTCGAACCCGCTTCACCCAGTGCTGCAGTCAAGGAAGTTACCACCGATCTGCTCGGGGTCGCGATTCACGTCCTGTTAACTGTACTGAATAATCTTGATTGGGCACTAGCTGGCAACTAGACACATAACACTGGCATCAAACTCGTGTCCAATCAAATTAAAGGTTTATTTATCTGCTTACTATTAGTGTACTCTTTAAACAACTTCCAAGTACTCGATTAATTTTTGTATGATATGAACTTCCGAGTACATATTGCATTTAACCGCTGTTCATAAGACTCGCTTAAAGTATTTGTTACTTTTACAAGAGAATTATCACTCGGTTTTATTGCACATTTCTGCCAACTCTGGTGTCGTATTCCATTCCTATTGTCGGTTTAGTGGAAAGTCGTATTTCTTGACTTTTAATTGAGATTTTTCTTAAATTAAAAAAAAATGTAAAGTTATTTTTTCCCTTGGTTTTTTTAATGCGAAGACAATATCTCTATATCTCTTTATGTGCTACACAAACAGACTTTATAGCAGACTGTTCCGTCTGACTCTAATGTCAGAAAGAACAACCTAACTGTAAATTCATCATACATCAATTTGTGTAATTTATATAATAACTTATCCATGCCTGTACAATTGGTATGTTCCTGCATAAACAGGAAGGAATATATTATTATTATTTAACATGAAAATCTGTTTCTGATATTATTTTATCCACATAAATGAATCACTTACGTGAATGACGCACAGTTTGTTCAAGAACGGAAATATCTGACGGGCGTTGATATGGCATATCCCCTATTTGAAGTGGTGTCTCTGGCTTAACCCTGACGGCATTTGCGCGGTTTCGTTGATTCGAGTAGGAGCTAGTCCTCCGGGCATATGCAGCAGACGTGATTTCGGTGCTCGATTTCATCTTGTTGGATGAATTTATATGAACATTGTTGTTCGATATTGTTCTCGAACATTTAATAATTCCTTCTGTGACAGGACGCTTTAATACATGGTTCATTCAATGATTATTTGGCATACCGAGTAAGCTTCGCGTACATTTCGACGACTGTCGTTCGATAAATATTTTGCAGCTTGGCGGAAACCTGTACTCGATCGCAAACTGCCCTATCAGCTATTGTGTAGTACCTATCTCAATGTAGTTGAAGACTGAACGATCAATTCATGGTTGTTTGCTCAAACCCAACTTCCCTATATTTTCGTGGAGAGATCGATACACCAGTCATCGTCTCATCGGTCGCTGTTCAGAACGAAGTCAGGCCAAAACTGTCAGAAGTAACATTGTGATTTATTATTTTAATATTTGTTCATAG